AGCACGTTTACTCCTTTCTGTACTTCCTTTTTCCAACTGCCCACCTGCCTCCTGCGCTTAGAATCCTGAGGAAGCACAGCGCAGGGTTGGAAGCGGAGTTGCTAAACTACGTAGGAACGTTGGGCTGTAGATGATTGACATTCTCTCCCTTCAGCCTGGGTGCACTGTTTACCCTGTGGGCTGTCTGCACAAAAGACTCTGCCTCTGTTCCAAACACGTCTTCCTGTTGTGCTGGAGAGTGCACAACTGGGGATGGAAAAGAGGGCTAGGCTCATTCTCCTTGGAGCTGAAGGTTCAAAGGAATTCCTGAATTCGCTTCCTGGGGAAAAGAATGTGCTTAGTGACCTGGAAACTAACTAAACATAAAACTCGAAGATATTCTGATGGTGACTCTATTAGCTTTACCCTTAAGACATTTTTCAAAAGAAAAACTTTGGTCAGACTTGGGCTTCTAGAGTTTTAATAGAAAAAGGAGGGGGGCACTTCCTGGCTAAATCAAGCCAAAATATTTTTTTCTGGGTTTGAATGATTAGGTAATTGCCTCAGTTCTCTGCTTCATGTAATCAAGGTCACTGTACTCAGTGCTAACAGAAGAGATGCTGGGGTCTGAGGTTTATGTATTCAAACTTCGCAGGTTAGGAAATTTCATTCAAAACTAGCAAGTAAGTCTGGCTCCATGCAAAATAGACCCTAAATCAAAATAAGCCTTAATTCTGTACTATCAACTCCTCTTAAAGGATGCTTTATTCTTTCCTTTCCTTTCCTTTTTTTTTCTTTTCTTTTGTTTAATTTAATGCAATGAGGAAACTCCTAGGTAGCCGATTCCCACTTCAGAGCTAGCAGGCTTCAGCAGGCTTAAATCCCACTCCACCAGCCTGAAACCCAACTTCCTTTCTCTACAGTGTGAGCTGATAAGCGATGAAACATGCCAGTGTCTGTGCTCACCTTTGGACAGCAAGAGGCAACTGTCTTCCAATATTGTTAACAGAATACTTCAGTTCAAAAGTGCACATAGTCCAATGTTTTAGGACTTCTAGTTAATGGTTTATGGAACATGATTTGGAGAATTAAAAAGAAGGGAACCAATATTTCTCGGAATAAGCAGGGAAATTATGTTTTCCCTGAAGAGTGCCCAATCAGTGGGTTTTCTACCATGAAATCAAGTTTGCATTCTTTCCCTCTTTCCACCTACGCTGCTTGGAGAAAATGAAAGCATGAAATCATGTTTCTCTGGATGAATCACTGTGGGAAAGTAAGTTCAACAGAGTGTGTTGTCAACTTGGTTGAGACCTGGCAGTTGGAGGACGGTGGGCTTTGTTCAATTTTTTTGCAATGCGATTATGGAATCGCGTAAGTGCAGGGAAGCCGCATAGGGAGTTAACGTGCTCAGTTCAGATGTGTTGGATCCACGAGCGAGCCAGGTGTCAGTCTGGGTATTGCAGGGTCATGGGTTTTTATTATATTGGGGTTAAATAAATCTCAAATGTCCCCCTATGATATCTGGACTTTGGAATTGAGTATAAATTTAAGTGATTCTGATCCATTTTCATGGGTGGTACTATCCCCAGAGATCAGCAAAGGACATCCAAAGTGCTAAGGGCTTTGTTTTTATTATGATTATGAATTAGATTAACACTCCTCTGCATTTAGTGGTACACAGGTGATAATCATGGCAAGAAATCCGTCTTTAATACTGACTGGTATATATAAAATAGATCAACAAGTTTATGCTGTGCAGCACAGGGAAACATTCAATATCTTGTAGTAGCTCACGGTGAAAATGAATATATGTATATTCATGTATGACTGAAGAACTGTGCTGTACACCAGAAATTGACACATTATAAACTGACTATAACTCAATTTAAAAAAATGTGATAAGTAAAAAAAAAATCCATTTAAAAATAATATGAAAATCCATCATTAAAAGAAAAACTGGGACCAATATTGTTTAGGGTCGTGGGATAAGTTTGATAAACTCTGTGAGGGCATTAGGTGAAGAATATGAGAATGATGGGCTAAATCTCACTCTCCTCAGAAATGGGGGGGCTTTGGGGGAGTCTTCCCCACCTTTCTGACTTCAGTGTCCTCATCTGTAAGTAATGGGTCTAGACCAGGTGACATGCAACGGCCATTCTGATCTGCGGGTCTGTGGTTTGGCAAAGCACTTTCTTAGCTTTCTGGACCAAAAGGTGAATCAGTGAGTAGATACAGCATCCTGCATTTGTGCCTCCAAACTTCCCCAAACTTCCCCTCTTCCTGCTGGACTCTTTTGTGTTTTGTTTGCTGTGTTTGAAGAGGGAAGGGATAAGAGGCTAACTGCTATCTGACTGGAGACAAAGAAGAGATAAAGGCCCAGCTACACCATCCAATCCTGTTCACCATACAACAGGACAGAGTTCCTTATGGTAAGGAGTGATTGCTACCCAGACTGGAAACCGGAAAACGCCCTACGTACAAGGTCAGTTGTA